TAAGTTTGAGCCCACTGCTACAGCCACTGTGTCAATCCATCTCGTTCAGGTTCTTCCGCGTTTTCACTGACCCTCTATTTTACCAAGCAGGATGTCCTTCCTCAGGGACTGGCCCATCCTGATAACACGTCCAAAGTAAGTGAGACGAAGTCTCAACGGCCTCCCTTCTAACAAGCATCCTGGCTGTACTTTTCCTAAGACAGAGTTGAGCATCGCGCTCTTATAAAGAATTATCTATGTGAGCTTAATTTAACAACAATTAATCTAAAGCACAGATGGGAACTCCAAGGAGCAGAACCTTGTTATTGGTGATGAAATAACACAGATATAGAGAGAATGGTACCACAACAATGTGAAGTATGTAATCAACGTTACTGAACTGTTCATGTAGAAACTAGTTGTGTATATTCCCAACAAAAATAAAATGTGTTTTTAAAAAATGATACTTTGAATTCATATAAATAAATAAAAACACTCTTATGTATGCGAAAACAGGGACACTATCTAATTTTCAGATTCTCTGAAAGTAATGTCACTTAGTCATTCTCAAATCTAGGATGAGATTTATCAAAGGACAGAGTCAAGGTGATTTATTTCCGAAGTAAAAAAGTACTTTGAAAAATGTCTTTGTTTTTCAAAAACACAGATACAACTAGCAAAAGTATCTGTGACAGCTGTGAAAACATTCAGCTGCCGGTGGAGGTATTTGCTTTTTTCGCTACAGCTGTTGAGTTCAGGTCAATGTTTATTTTCCTCTTCCACTTCAGCTTCCAAATCAAGAAATCTGGGCTCTAAATGCAAAAACATTGACCTTGAATTTTCTTGACTAGGCTGCCACCTTGTGGCGACCAGTATAAAGCACATGGATTTGGGTTTAATTGTAAACGGTTAATGCTGGGCTGCTGACAGAAAGGTTGGAGGACCACCCAGAGGTGCCTTGGAAGAAAGGTCTGGCAATCTGCTGCTATTGTTAGGTGCCGTTGAGTCAGTTCTAACTCATAGCGACCCTATGTACAACCGAATGAAACGCTGCCGAGTCCTGTGCCATCCTCACAATTGTTATGTTTGAGCCCATTGTTGCAGCCACTGTGTCAATCCATCTCGTTGAGGGTCTTCTTTTCAATGACCCTCTACTTTATCAAGCATGATATCCTTCTTCAGGGATCGGTCCCTCCTGATAACATGTCCAAAGTAAGATTCAGTCTTGCCATTCTTGCTTCTAAGGAGCATTCTGGCTATACTTCTTCCAAGACAGATGTGTTCGTTCTTTGGGCAGTCCATGGAACATGCATTTTGAGATAATGTTCTGCAATAATGTCTTGCAGTTAATGGGCACATTTCATTTAACTTCACATTGCTCGGAACTTATGAAGTGTATTGTCATCTTTTGAAATTAAAAGATGTATTAAATATTTCCAATGTGAAAATACAAACGAATACCATGACACACCTGGATCCCAGTGCCCAGTTTAAGGGAAAAAAAGCATGACCAACAAGTACGGCTCCCTCTGGATTCTTTCCATCTACATCCACATCCTTGTTCCAGTAACTATTTTCCTGATTTGGTTCATAGTTCCACTGCATTTCTTTATACTTTTAATTCATATGTAGGTAGCCCTAAAAATATACATAATAGTATTGTTTTGTATGTATTTACATCTTGTATAAATGATGTTATAATGCATTTGTCTGCAACTTGCTTTTTTTAATTCAATGTGGTTTTAAAAAATCCTTCAATGTTGACATTTGCAACTCTGGTTTATTAATTTTCACTGCTTGTATCTCATACAGTTTTATGAAGATATTTTTATATACATACTCTACATGCTTCTACATTAATTTACCCATTCTCCCACTGATGGGCATTTAGATCACTGTTTACACATATTTTGCATTATTAACATGCTGCTCTGACCATTCTCAGACATGTCTTCTTGTGTATACATCCAAGAGCTCCTCTATGATATATACCTGGGAGTGAATGAAATTCCTGGGTCAAAGAGTATCTATGTCTTCAACTCTACTAAATTGCTTTCCAAGATGCTTATTTCAATTTAAACTCCTAAGAATATACGAGTTCCCATAGCTCCACAAATGTGTCAGTATTTAGAATCACAACTTTTTACTCATTGCCATGATTGATGAGAACAGGCGCTGAACAGCTTCCCGTGTGTATTTTGGCCACCAGGTTCTTCGTCTGTGAATGGCCTGTTATTTGCCCATTTTTCTATTGGATTGTCTGTCTTACTGATTTAAAGGAGTCTTTTACAAGATGCTAATTACCAGTTAAATATTTGTTGTTTAAGTATCAAATATCATCTGTAACTCTTTTCACTTTTTTAATGATTTTTTGAGAAAGAAAAGCTTTGTTTTATTTTTAAATTTTAATGTAGTCAAATTTACATATCTTTTCCTTAGCAATTTGTGATTTTCGGGCCTCTTTAGCTATTCTTCCTATCCCAGCATCTTAAAAGCAAAGTTTTTTATTTTCGTCTAAAAATTTTACAGTTTTGTTTCCATATGAAGTCTTTAATCTAGAATTAACTTTTGTATATAGTGTCAGGTTAGCATTTCAATGTTTTACCCATATATACAGGAAACCCTGGTGGCACAACCATTAAGCGCTTGGCTGCTAACTGAAAGGTTGGCAGTTTGAACCCACCAGTGGCTCCCCAGGAGAAAGACCTGGTAATCTGTTTCTAGATCATAGCTCATAAAACCCTATGGGGCAGTTCTACTGTCACATGGGATCGCTGAGTCAGAATCGACTAGAGAGCACCTAATAACCACCACCACCCATATTTATAACTAATTGAAGCAGCATTTTTTAATAGTCAATTTCCCCTCCAATGATCTGCAAGTTAATATAGATGCATGGATTTACTCCTAGCCTTCTTCTGTCCCAACAGTCTGTTGGTCTAGAACACCAAAGTAATTACTATTAATGTATAATAATTTATACTATATGGTTGGGTGAGTTCTTCCCCTTGATTTTTTTCAACATTGTCGTTATTATTTTTGATCCTTTGCACTTCCCTATGAATTTTAGAATCAGCTTGTCAAAACCTACAAAAAAAATATTGTCAGGACTTTGATTCAAATTTATATTTAATTTGGGGAGAATCAGCGTCTTTAAGATATTGAAACTCCTTATCCATGAACATGGTATCTCCACTTTTATTTAGGTTTTCTTAAAGATTTTCATCAAAATTATATAATTTCTTTCAAAAGGTCATGCACCTAAAATGATACTTGTGAAGAGAGTGCTTCTTCACTCAAGTAGACACATGAGACTAAACAGGCAGCTCCTGTCCGGAGGTGAGATGAGAAGGCAAAAAGGGACAGGAGCTGGTTGAATGGACATGGGAAATCAGGGGTGGAAAGGAGAAGTGTACTGTCACATTATAGGCGGGGCAACTAGGGTCACATAACAATGTGTGCATAAATTTTTGTTTGGAAACTAATTTGAACTGTACACTTTCACTGAAAGCACAATTGAAAAAAAAAGGTCATGCATAACTTTGTTAAAGTTATTTGTAGGTACCTTATAGTTTTCATCGCTACTATATATTGTATGGTTTTAAATATTTACTTTTGTTTGTTGCTAGCATTTAGACATGCAAATGATTTTTTGCATGTTGATCTTATATCAAGAATACAGCTGTAAAACAATATGTGTATTAGTTGTTTAATGAGAAACTAATTTGCTCTGTAAACCTTCATCTAAAGTACAATAAAAAGAACACAGCTGAACTCTCTTACTGATTTTTATATATATAAATATACTTTTTTTTACAGTCTCTTTGGTTTCTATGTAGACAACCATATCATCTAGGATTAATGACAGTTTGTTGTCATTCATTCCAATCATTAAAAATTTTCTTTCTTTTTTATTACTACATTCTCTAGCAATTCCAATATAAAATAGATTAGGAGTAGTGATAACAAGGCATTTTTGTTTTTCCTAATTTTAAAAGAAATGTTTCCATTACTTCACTATTAAGTGAGATATTTGCTATAAACGTTCATAGAGTTTTATCAGGATAAGGAATTTCTTCCAATTCCTAGTTTAAGAGTTTTTGTTTTTGTTTTAATCACAGTGGATACTAGATTTGATCAAATTACTTTTCTCTTTCTATTGTGGTAAACCTCTAGCTTCTAATCTGATGATGTGGTGAATTACGTTAATATATTTTCTGATGTAACACCACTGTTTTAATCACAGGAAAAACCCAATTTGATCAAGATGTTGTTGCTGGATTTGATTTTCTAATATTTTGTTAATGATTATTTCACCTACATTCACAGGTAAGACTGTTCTGTAATCTTCCTGTAGCAGCCTGTTCTTGTCTAGTTTTGGCACGTGTAAAATGAGTTATGAGGTGCTCCTTCTTCTTCTGTTCTCCGGAGATGAGATCAGGACTATCTGTTCTTTGACTGTTTGGCAGAACTCATCTGTAAGACCACGGGTTGACCTGTGTACACCTTGTCAGGTTTTTGTCTGCTTGTTTGGTGAGCAGATTGAGTCAATGTCTTTCTTGGATATAGGTCTATTCAGGTGTTCCCATTTTATGTTAGTCCATTTTGTAAGTCACACTTTTCTAGGAAAGTGCTCATTTTATACAAATTTTCAAATTTGCCAACATAAAACTGTTCATAGTCTCCTTTAAAAAAATTTAATAAAAACGCTGTTTCTGTGGTCACATCCCCTTGCTCTTTCTTCATATTGTGTTCTCTCTCTTTAACTTGATTATTTTGGCTAGTCGTGCGTCTGTTTTACCAGACTTTTCTAAGAGCCTTTGGCTTTGCTGATTATCTCTCCTGTATGTTTGGTTTCCATTTCATTAATTTCTGCTCTTTATTATTTTTCAACCTTTGAGATTTTCTGTTATTCTTTCTCTGCCTTCTTAAATGCTCAGCTTATACATTTGTAGCCTGTCTTGTTTCCTAATATATGTGAACATTTCGGGTGACATATTTCCACCATGAGAGATGCTTACCTTGCTTTGAAGCTGAGGCGTTTCCCACTGGCAGCTCATTGTCATGGAGCCTTTCCTCTGGAACAGGCATTGCACGGCAGCTTCCAAAGATCCATGGGCCCCAATGACCAAGATCTTCTTTCCATTTAAGTTTACACCTATCAACCAAATTCAATATTAGAATCAAAAAATCAGATCCCTTCTTCTAGACAGCTTTAACCGAAGGAAAAATACCCTTTTAAAACTTGGCCCCCTCAGCACCAACCTACAATAAATATCAGCTAGGAGTGGGAACCTGTAATTAACCAAATTTCTCTATTCAAGTCCTTCTGGTTCTAATTCTAATTGCTGAATCTCTCTAAAATTGACCAGTATATTTTATTAGCCATAATGTACTCTTCCTTTGAGAGTTTTATGGCAGAGTAGCTCAGAATCATTGTCCAGATAACCCATACGATGGAAAAACACTGTATATGTGGATGATCTCAGAGATTTGGGCTTAATGGTTACTGATTAAAGGGCATATCCTGAAAGTTAATCTTGTAAGAAAACCTTGGTTTATATTTTGGGATTGTTGTATGATTTTTTCATGTTTAGGGGAGCTGGAGGACATTTGACTGTTTTCTACTCCAATTAGACTATAGAAAAATTTAGTTAGTTGACTTTTTATGCACTCAGCTAGAAAGCCCTTAAAAGAAAAAAACCAAACATGTTGCTGTCAAGCCGATTCCAACTTCCAGGGACCCTATAGGACAGAGTGGAACTGTCCCATACGGTTTCCAAGGCTGTAATTTTTATGGAAGCAGACTGCCGCATCTTTCTTCTGCAGAGCAGCTGGTGAGTTCGAACCGCTGACCTTTTGGTTAGCAGCCTAGCACTTAATCACTGTGCCACCAAGACTCCTTAGGAAAGCCCTTAAATACATGAAATAGTCTACAATAATTTACTCACTAAATTTAATAACCAAGAAGGAGAAACAATTCATTTCTATTTCACTGACATAAAAATACAAGGTCAAGGAGAGAATGATGTAAAGTAAGCATTGATGACTGACAAGAATTCTACTCACTAATAAATCCCAGGCTAGGTTTCTGTAGCCTAAACTATATCTGACAGCTTTCTCACTTCAGTCTTAAGTGTTAAGTCTTATCTAGGTCTACATATTGATAGATTTGAGTCACTAAAACTTGAAACATTTTTCATTGTGGCTATTTTGACCGTCTCATGAGAGAAATTGAGAATTTGTTTAAATTAATTGTCATCTTTACCAATTTCTCTTTGAAATTATAATACAATATGATGAGAAAAATTTACAGTCATTCCTTCATATCTCCACTCCAAGAAAGATGAGAAAATAAAGAAAGCCCATATTGAATGGCACATCCATGTTTCAATTAGAATTTTCCAGAAATAAATCCTTTTAAAAAACAATGTAAATACCAATAAATAGAAAATAGTAGCATTTTGGATGAAGCATCATACCTGATTTTTCAAGAAGTTCAATTACAGCTCTGGCAACCGGTGAAACAAAACACTCATGGGCATCCCCACGTACCAGCTTCCCCAGGTTTATATCTGTTACTCTGAATCAGAAAAAGAGAAAACAGGTAAGTCAAAACCTGGTCAAAACTCACACATAGGTAATCACATGTATTAATCCCAAATAACATACAGCTCATCTATGTCTGATGGAATATATGAAATACACATTGAAGACTAGAGAGAAACTAAAGGTCATTAGCTTCTTGGAGCAGCCCTTTAGGAAATTTCCCTCTGGTCCCTCTGAGCTGGGACAACCTTCAGTGTTCTCGTTCTACCTGGAAGGCACGAGCCATGGAGGTGTTCACTGCCCTACTCTAGGAAACACCGTTCAGTGGACTATAATGCAATGGTGCCCCTGGGGTTGTGCAATCCCGGCGTCCTGCTGTACAGCGCACTGTGCTGTTGTTAGCTGCCATCGAGTTGTTCCCCAACTCACAGTGACCCCATATACAATGGGATCAAACCTCTGTGATCCATGGGGTTTTTGTCAGCTGATTTTGAGGATTAGATCACCAGTTCTTTCTACCTAGCTCACCTTAGTCTGGAAGCTCTGCTGAAACCTATTCAGCATCACAGCAACACATAAGTCTCCACTGACAGATGGGTGATAGATGCACTTAAGGTTCATCAGTCAGGAATTGAACTGGGTCTCCTGCATGGAACGTGAGAATTCTACCACTGAACTACCACTGTCTTCACAGAGCCAACTTTACCCTTGAGAAAATTTATATCTTAATCAATATCAAAATCCAGAACCAATCCCACAAATTTGGAGTGACCTAGCAAGACCTGGAATTCACAGGTCTCATTTCCCACTTGACCTCAGTATGTACTTTATCTCCTTGTGAAATCAGAGCTTCTATGCCCTTCCTCGTTCAAATCCATAACATTCTGAAACAATCTAGCTTAAACTAACGGTCCCAATCCAGGTAAGTATTGAAATGGAGACATTTAGAAATGGCTTCATCATTCTCTCCTTTTATAAAAAATTTAAAACTTCTGGAAGTTTTCTTATTAATTAGGACTTCTCTCCCTTTACAAATGCTCTATGATAGGCTCGGCAACTGTTGTGACAACTTTTTAACCTGTATTTGGGTTTACCCTAAGTCTGAGTCACAATAAAAGGCTGCAAGAAGCCTGGGTGTCTGGCAGCCTGAGGTAGCCTTTCAATCCAGTCCCTGCAAGAAATATTGGATCAGCAGTCTCTCTCTGTAAGTTTGCTTTCAGCCTTGGATCGCTAAATACATCATATTTTTTTGGCCACAGTGTAAAATCTTCCTAAATTTCCATATGAGGAAACAGGCTGTGGGCTGGCAGCACTCCTTGTCCTGGCACAAAACAGAAACACACAGAAAAAGGATAAAGCATTGCTTATTTAAAGACGTAGTCATGAGCCATTGCCTAAGCTTCCCAAACTGTACCTTTGTGTTTTTCACAAATAGTGACTCCGTTTAGTGTTTTCTATGGCGAGAAGGCCTGTGACATCACACCGTGACCTGAGTCACAGCACTTCATATTTATGATTTTTTCCCCTTCAAATTTCAAATAAAACTTCACGTCATTAACAAAACTATTAGTTTTTGTCAACTAGCCTGGGACTAAGGCAGAACATGGTACTGCTGGGGAATCAGGTCTCTCGGTTTTTTCTCTCTAATCTGGCAGAATTATCAGGAAAAGCTATTAGCAGAGAAGACCAAAAAACCAAACCTGTGGCCACTGAGTCGATTCTGACTCATGATGACCCCACGTTTCAGAGTTGAACTGCACTTCGTAGGGTTTTCAATGGCTGTGATCTTACGGAAGTAGATCACCAGGCCTTTCTTCCATAGCAGCACTGGGTGGATTCGAATTGCCAACCTTTTGGTTAGTTGTCAAGCACAGTTTATGTCACCCAGGGAGCTATGAGAAGAGCTGACTAAAGACTCTATAAATCAGACAGGAACTTATAACAAATGAGTATGATGATGCAAGGAGATTACTTCCAAAATGTCACCCAAACCAAACCAAACCCATTGCTGCCAAGTCCATTTTGACTCATAGCAACCCTACAGGACAGAGTAGAACTGCCCCATAGGGTTTCCAAGGCTATAAATCTTTACGGAAGCAGACTGCCACATCTTTCTCCCATGGAGCAGCTAGTGGGTTTGAACTGCTGACCTTTCGGTTAGCAGCACAAGTACTACAAAAGGGCTAATGTATTTTCCAAAATATGTAGCTTTCTTATGCAGAATTTTAAAAACGCTCCAACTCCTGAAATATTTAAAAATAGCTCTTTCATCTGAATTACTGACACATTTGAAAAAATGGAAGGAATCGGGGGGAGATTACAGTAGAAAAACTGATTAAGCAATAAAAGTTGATTTTCTTGTCGATTTTCTTACCCATCCACATCTTTTTCTGGCTTCAAGGCATTAAGGACTTTGTTGCTAAACGAGTTCTCAGAAATCTGAAGGGCAAGGCCATGTACTCTGGTGTCCTCATTAATCTTTAAGATTTCATCTATAATCTAAAGAAGAAAAAAAGCCAAAAAACCAAAAATCAGTCTTGTGAAAATAACACCCAACAAAAGAAGCTTTATATAAAGATGGATTCATAAAAATGCATCTGTTATAGTTTCTTTTTGACTCTGTGTTGAAGGCTGGGTGAAAAGCACAATGAAGTCTTCCTCTTTTCATCATGTTTACAAAAGCTCAAAAAAACCCAAAAAGCTTGACTCAATTTTTTAGTGACTTCCTTTTGGCTCTTATGGTTCTACCTGCTGCTAGAAAAGCACAATAAAACAAAAGCGCAGTAGTTATTAAGATTCACACGGCAAAAGACAATTCCCCGTCCACCATCCCGTTTTGAGCCAAACCCACTGCCTCTTTCAGTGAAGCCAGTAAGCATGACTCAACCATTCCAACCTGGCCCAGCCCAGCCTGTGCTTCAAACACAATGTGTGCAACAAAAGCTTATAAATCATGACATTCAAGAAGTCATCACGTAGGCCCTCATGCTGTCTGGACCTGAGCGGCACACAGGGAGCCTTTTCAAAGGCTTGCAATAGATTGATTCTAAGCACGCAGGCCTTCTCACCATAGAAAACACTAAACAGAGTCACTATTTATGAAAAAGACAAAGGTACAGTTTGGGAAGCTTAGGCAATGGCTCATGACTACGTCTTTAAATAAGCAATGTTTTATCGGTTTTCTGTGTGTTTCTATTTTGTGCCAGGAGATAAGATACTGATTCATTTCACTGAACCAAATGATTTGCCCATAAATAAGAGAGAGACTAGCCCACACACATGGATCTCATTATGAAGAAGTGTTGGTTTACCATTTTTGTTTCACTGCTTAGCAAAACTCACTGTGGTATTACTACCAGCTAGGGGAAGAAAGCAGTCCCGGGATAGTGCAAATGGTTAACACACTCAGCTGCTAACAGAGAGGTTAGAGGTTCGAGTTCACTCAAAAGTGGCTTGGAAGAAAGGCCTGGTGATCTTCCAAAACCCAGCCATTGAAAACCCTGTGTAGCACAGTTCTACCCTGACACATATGGGGTTGCCATGAGTCTGAGTCGACACGTTGGCAATTGGTTTAAGGGAAGAAAAAGCTACCTGACTTACAAAAACCAGAAAGAAAGTTGTATTTCATTCACTCATTATTCTTTCATTCATTCAATAAATATATTTTGAGCACCTTCTTTTTACCAGTTCTAAGTAAAAGAAAGAAAGCTGTAAACAAAATAGACAAAAGTCTTGTGCTCAAGAAGTTTATATTCCACTGGGCGAGTAACAACTCCCAGATAATACAAACCCTGGAAGTGATAAATGACACGAAGAATTACAAAGTAGGGTAAAGGGATAGGAGAGTGATGGCAGTGGGAGGTGGTCCAGGAAGGCCCCACCAGGGTGTGACATCTAAGCAGTGCAGGGAAGCGAGGGAGGGAAGAGCTGCGTGGAAATTAGGGGAGCAGCCCGGGTAATGGGGCCCACGTGCAGCAGCAAGCAATATGATAAGATGTTTTAACAAAACAGAATCATTCCTGCAGAAATCTGCCAAACGCAGACACACTCAGAACAGTCATTGCGTTTAACCCAAAAGCCCTATTAGGCGCTGTCCAGTAAGATCCAGCCTTTTTCAGACTTCTGACTCAACAAAGCAAACTCCCCATGCCTGAATATCTTCTTTTCTGTTTCATTATTTTACTTGCCACATATGTATAAGAAACTACATTCTCCTATAGATAACAGACTTTTCTTCAAATGCACTGACTGATATTTCAGCTAGACTTAGTCTTTAAACCCCTTCTTTCTCTTTACTTTTGTCAAGACCTAATCCTGGACACATAGGGCAGTGTATCTCCTTGTTCCTGAAGATGCTCAGAGACAAACAGGGACGGTGGTCAAATAATGTTGGGAAACGCTGCATGCAATATTCCTCCCTCAGAAGGTCACAGTGAACATTAGCATATTAAATGCTCTGAGGAGTTTAATTCAGTGTTTCCCAAACATGTCTAACCTTGGAACATACTCTTCACCTAGCACTTATGAAACATACTTTGGGAAATGTTGTCATAAAATAATACCTGTCAAAACAGGTGTATTTGTATTATCCCACTGTTACCTGTAATCAGGATTTCGCAGAAGCAACTAAAGCAATGTCCACAATTAATATGTTAAGATTCTTACTTTTTCAAAATAATAATAATACCATACAAATTCATAACTATGAGAATTTCAACAAAGAAATATAGAAAATAAATGATTCCTTGTCAAAGAATGAGTCCAGGGCTATGAATACCAGTGGCAAAACAACCTAAGCAAATGCAAATTCTACTGCAGATAGAGTGTCCTTCTGTAAATGGACAACAAAGCTGTCTGTATTTTGATAATACTGGTATCACAGGCATCTTAATAATTGTAACATATTACAATGTCAAGTGTAGCAGAAAGTATTTGTCCAATATCTATTTTTCCCTTCTTCCTGAATAATAAACTCTTGATTTTTAGTTGTGATAATAAATTATCTAAGGCTGCCTGGTCTAAAAACTACATTTCCCAGCCTCCCCTGCCCTGTGGCGAAGAAATTAGATTCACAATGGAACAGCAGCAGAATTATGACTTTCAGGAAATGTCCATAAAAGGTAAGAGAGTAGGCCCCTCTTTGTCCTTCCTTTTTCTTGCTGGCTAGAATGTGGATGTGACATGTAGAGTTCAATCTGCCATCCTGGACCATGAGGCAGCTCAACAAAGATGGCTGAGCAATAAGCTAGAAGGAGCCTCAGTCTCTAATGCTTTTGTGAATTCATGATACCACCCAGGACTGTCTGCTTTTAAATTTTATTCATGTACAAGAAAAATAAACTTCTGTGTTAAGATTCTGTTATTTGAGGTTTCCTATCATACAAAGCCAAACTGAATCTTCAATGGCACAGCGAGTCTGAAGAAAACCAGCCATTAGAAGGACCAGGCACTAACTCGGGGGCCAGGAACCTGTGTTGCCTTTGGGCTGGTTTCTTCACCACTGCTTTGGAGTGGCTGCTTCCTCCAGATGTGAGATGATTCTTATGAAGGCTGCTACTACCTGCTGGCAGAAACAACTAAATCACATGCAACCACAATGAAAAGAACCCTTCGGGTGATTTTTATCAGTGTTCCCAAAATGCCACTGACAGATGGTGCTGGAAGGACCCTGAAGATCATCCTAGCCTTTATTTTATCGATAAGGCAACTGTGGAGTGAACAATTAATTTTGCCCAAAGCATTTGCCTCGCCTTTGTCTCTAGTTGCTGGGAGGTAACCTCTAAACCTTTCAATTTCCTGAGTGACTGGAGTGTCCTTTTTATTCATAGTGGGCCCTGCACCACACCTGAGAGTTTATCCTAATGAGGTGACTCAAGGTGGGTGCTGGCCATACTGGGAAGACCCACCAGGTGATATCTGGGGATGGGAGGGGCCTGGAGAGCAAGTTCAATCACATGGCTAATGATCCAATCACTCATGCCTACATAATGAGACCCCAGTACAACTCTGGACAGCTGACTGAGTATAGTGTCCTGCTCCATGAGGAGACGACAGGGAAGCTTCACATTTAGGACCCTCCTAGACTTTGCCCTATGCATCTCTCCCTTTGGCTGCTTCTGATTTGTATCCTTTTTGCTATAATAAAACTAACTGCGAGTATAGCACCTTCCAAGCTCTATGAGTCTATCTAACAAATTATTGAACCTGAGGTGGGTAGTGGAAGCCCCAAAATTTGGAGCCAGCTGGACAGAAGTGAGTATGGCCTGGGAACCCCCGAACTTAGAGCTGGTGTCTGAAGTCTTGGGTAGACTTGGCGGTCTGGAGGACTGTGCACTTCACCTGTGACGTTTGGCCTAACTCTGGGTAGCTGGGGTCAGAACTCTTCACAGCAACCGTAACCTAGAGAAGTCAAACGACTGGCCCAGGGTCAAAAAACCTGTCAGAATAGAGCCAAGAACTAGAACTACTTCTCCAGACACTGACAGCCAGATGGTTTCCAATAGATGATGCTGCCGCTATAACTGAAGGAAAAAAAAGAAAAAAAAAAACCTGTGCCGTCGAGTCGATTCCAACTCATAGCCACCATATAAGACAGAGTAGAACTGTCCCATAGGGTTTCCAAGGAGCAACTGGTGGATTCGAACTGCCAACCTTTTGGTTTGCAGCACAGCTCTTAACCACTGCACCACCAGGGTTCTGTAGCTGAAGAAACATACCCAAAATAACTAAGTCAAGTCTTCGATAGAAACACACAGAAATAAAGGACAAACTGATCAAGGAGAATTTATACTAAAGGGAAGAGATCACTTTTCCCCTGAAAACTGGCCAAAAGAAAAGGCTAGATCTATTCCAACCACAACTGAGATGCTAACAAAGCCTACTAGGTCCGAAGAGGAAAGCAAAATACAAGTTTGAATGCTGTTGTTGTGTGCCCTTGAGTTGATTTTCGACTCACAGCAAGCCCATGTGACAGAGTAGAACTGCCCATAGCGTTTTATAGGCTGTAATCTTTACGGAAGCAGATTGCCAGGTTTTTCTTCCACAGAGCCACTGGGTAGGTTCGAACTGTCAACCTTTCTGTTAGTAGCCAAGTGCTTAACCGTTGTGACATGAGGGCTCCTTACGAGTTTAAATGCCAGGTGGTAATTACCTCATCTTCACCGCTGTCTGGAGGGAGGCAGATGTGAGTGATGTTCAGACCAGCCTGAAAAGAGAACACAGGTTATTTGTCACTGTGAGAGAGCACATCACTAAAAATTACAATGCACCTTTAAAAATCAGCAATCCTCACCTCCTCTGCCAAATTCTGGTTTATTTCCTGCATCAAGTTATCATCACCTGCCTTGGGGGAAGGGAGAAGAAGGTGAATGTAACAACATGAAAACAGTTTGAAAGGGCACAAAACAATACGGAGATGAATTTTGTAATTATAATCTATCTAATTACGAATATGATAAGGAAAATGCAGAAAAAGCATCCTAGTGCTTGTAAAGTGTACTAATGGCTGGTTATATTGACATTAATTTCTTGGGCTTTCAAATTATGCCACTCTTTCACATTGGCCTCATGTTAAGGTATATATAGCCATATAACCAGCATCCCTTTATAAACAAGGACACCACAAATAGGAATTTAAATAATTTGCCCTTAAATGGGAAGCTGGAGTCCCTGGGTGGTGTAAACAGTTAAGGAGCTCAGCTGCTAACCAAAAGGCTGGAGGTTCCAGCCCACCCAAAGGTGTCTTGGAAGAAAGCCTTGGTGATCTACTTCTAAAAAATTAGCCATTAAAAACCCAATAGAACACAGTTCTACTCTGACACACATGGGGTCACCATGAGTAGGAGTTGACTCGATGACAACTTTTTTTTTTTGGTGGAAAGTTAATGAGTAAGCAAAGGGCTAAGAGGCCTAAGCTCACATCACAATCCGATTGTCTCTCTACTTTTCTAACTGCCTTTCTCTGTAAGGGGCCGTGGATACAGACCCTAAAGAACATAACTGGAGTGAGCACAAAAACGTAACCCTGATGGAACTGGAGGCTGCTGTCTTGATACATTAAGGGTGTGTCAAAACTGCGGGAGCAGCCAGCTGTTGGCTCTGCTGGTTGACAGCCTTGGCCTGCCTCATCATTCCCCTGCACCTGTCATCACAGAGCAAGCCAATCAGCATGGACAGCATGCCAACTGTGGCGCCCAGCCACAGGGCTGCAGCCAAAGACCACAGGGAATGCAAAATCCTTCCGGCCCGGGGATGGCGGTTGGCCCTTCCAGTGTGTGGCAGGCTTCAGAGAGCTGGTAGTGAGATTACCAGGTACCTGTGCTTCTTCTAGCATCTGTCTTCCACAGAAACAAAGGGGAACTTTCTCCCTCTCACTTTCAAATCACCTTTGACAAGCATTTCCACTTCAGGGCAAGTCATTTAAACTCCTCTTTCTGATGTCCTCCTTTATAAAGGGATGCTGGTTATGTGGCTACTGGTATATATGTCTTAATATGAGGCCTATTATAAAGAAGTGGCATAAGTTGAAAGCCCAAGAAATTAATATGTCAATAAATACAGTAAAACCTGCAAGAGCCAAAACGTGTGTAACTCAGAAACCTGTCAGAGAAGGAAAACTCAAATATCTTCCACTAATAGAGAGCAACAGAAAAATGTAAGACTACACCCTGCCAAAAGCAGAAATCTTGGGAAACGTGAAAAAACAAGGCAGTCCTGTCTAGTTCCAGCCCTCACAGGTTTCACTATATTAGCCACTTGTTCCCTTTTATAAGCAATAGGATTCTTCTTCTGCATTTTCCTTACCATCTTCATAATTAGATTGCAACTTCCTGGGACTACCTTCTGACCTCTAAGAACTGCACCAGAGAAGACTCACAAAAAAAAAGACCCCCAAGCACAGACACAGATCTCTAATCTGTAACCCTGCAGAAGCAAATGATCAAATAATGGGGAAACAACAACATTTCCAGCTGAGGTCTCTCTTCCACCCAGTAAGCCAGAATGGGACTTTTCTGATAAGAAATACAGCTGGTTTTTTCTTTTTTTAAAAAAAATTTTTTTAATTGTACTTTAGATGAAGGTTTACAGAACAAACAGTTTCTCATTAAACAGTCAGTACACATATTGTTTTTATGACCTTGGTTAACAACCGCAAGACATGTCAACAATCTCCCTTCTCAACCTTAGAGGACCTTTTTTTTTTTTTTGGTGAAAATATACATAGCCAAAGTTACACCATTTCAAAAGTTTTTACATGTACAACTCAGGGACATCGATTACATTCTTCCAGTTGTACAGCTGGTCTTTTCATACAATTCTAAATTGAATAGCATAAAATAGTAAGACTGAACCACATTCTCACCTTACCTGAATAATAGCAAGCACCGGCTTAAAGGCAGGGTTTTTTTCTTGCAACAAACTCAAAACTTCTTTTGAATTCTGAATGACTTCTCTACATAGAGAAAGAAAAACAACACAGTAATTTCTTTACTGAGGACTAGAAAGTATTTACACAACACGTTTTCTTAGAAAGTTTGTGACTTTAAGTGAAAATAACAGGACAATGTAAGGATGCACTCCAAGTGTGGAGAGTGTGGATTTTATGGAGGGAGGAAAACAACGAAACCATGAAATATTAACTCAGTATAAAGTGGGACAAGCTAATTTTTTTTTTATTGTACTTCAGGTGAAGGCTTACAGAACAAATAGTTTCTCATGAAACAGTAGTACACATATTGTTCTATGACATTGGTTAACAACCCCGCAACATGTCAACCCTCTAACTTCTCAAACTTTTTTTTTGGTGAAAATACACATAGCCAAAGATACACCATTTTAAAAATTTCTACATGCACAGTTCAGTGACATTGACTACGCTCTTCCAATTGTGCTATTATTCTCACTTAAAATGAAGGCTTACAGAACAAAATAGTTTCTCATTTAACAGTTACTACAAATGTTGCCCTATGACAATGGTTAACAAATCTCACAACACATCAACAATATCCTTACTCAACCTTGGGTTTCCTATCACCAGCTTCCTTGTCCCCTTCTGCCTTCTGGCCCTTGTCACTGGACTACCGTACCTCATTCGTCCCATTTGGTTTTACGGGGCTGTCCACTCCCAGGCTGAACAGTGAACCTCGGAGGTAACTTCACCACTGAGCTAAAAGGGTGTCTGGGGGCCATACTCTCAGGCCACTAAATCTGGTCTTTTTTTTGTGAGTTAGAATTATGCTCTATATCCTTCTCCAGCTCTGTACAGAACCCTCTGTTGTGATCCTGGTCAGAGCAGTCAGTGGTGGTAGCCGGGCACCATCTAGCTGTACTGGACTCAGTCCGGTGGAGGCCTTGGTAGCTGTGGACAATTAGTCCTTCGGACTAATCTTTTCCTTGTATCCTGTTCTCTTCATTCTCCCTTGCTCCCGAAGGGATGAGACCAGTGGAGTATCTTGGAAGGCCACTCACAGGTTTTTAAGACCCAGACACTACTCACCAAGGTAGAATGTAGAACATTGTCTTTATAAACTGTGTTATGCCAATTGAGCTAGATGTTCCCCGAGACCATGGTCCCCACAGCCCTCTGCCCAGCAATTCAGTCCCTCAGGGAGTTTGGATGTGTCTATGGAGCTTCCATGACCTTTCCTTGTACAAGTTGTGCTAGTTTCCCCTGTATTGTGTACTGGGACAAGCTAATTTTTAAAAGTATGCAGAGATGAGCAAACTAGATGTTAACGGTAATTTTCTAGGGGTGAATTTTTCTCTTGTATTCTCCAAGTTTACGATAATGAAAGTTTTGCTTTTTTTTTAAACAGCCCCACTCCCCACCCCCAATTCCAAAAAAAGTAGTTTGGGGTCCATGGGGAAAGAAAACGTTGATGAGTTGCAGGTAGCAAAGACAGGGATTGGGGAGACAAGAAATGCCAGGTCAGAATAAATTCCAGGTCCCAGAGTTTAAACAAGGGGCGAGCAAGGAAGGAGAGGGAAGGCAACGTTGCAGAAACCCTGGGGTTCCATCAGAATTTGAAAAACTCCGAAGACTTCTTAGGGAGAGAGACTCGCACTGCCCTGGCACCTGCAGTCTGCAAATAGACCTCCCAAAAGACCCAGCAGCAAGTCTCCCAGCCTCCACCTTATCACCACTGCAGGAGGAGGAAAAGGGGTGAGTGTTGGCAGCCGAGGGGGAGGGCAGACCTCGATAAACAAATGTGGCAGAAGTCAGGCTCTATTTCTTCAGCCTTCTGGGATGTGTGACTTCAGAGGCCACCTTCACCACCACACTATGAAATGCTTCTCACTAGCATAGGAAAGTCCCAGGGTAGGCAGCTAACCAACGGGTTGGAAGTTCGAGTTTACCCTGAGGTGCCTTGAAAGAAAGGCCTGGCAATCTACTTCTGAAAAATCAGCCATGGAAAACCCTACAGGGTGCAGTTCTACTCTGACACACATGGGGTCGCACCCCATGAGCACCCTAGATTGGAAGGCACTCAAAATACACAGTGACCACAACAATGGAATCAACTAGATGGTGTAGCAGTTAAGAGCTCGGCTGCTAACCAAAAGGTCAGCAGTTTGAATCTACCAGCCGCTCCTCAGAAACCCTATGGAGCAGTTCTACTCTGTCCTGTAAGGTCACTATGAGTTGGAATCAACTTGGCGACACTGGGTTTGGTTTTAAAACACTGGAGTGTGGATCCAAGTGGTTCTTAGCAGTGTGGATAAGGACCATCTGTGGAGCTTGATATAAACAAAGGCTTCTTGTTGGGGCCCAGGAATGTGCAAGTTTAACAAGGCAGCCTGGTAGTTCTGAGTCACTAAGAGTGGGAACCCAGCCCCGCAATCGGACCAGGAAGCTTTTCGTTTAAGCATGAGCAATTTACTCAGTCTCCACAAACCTCAGTTTCCTTATCTTAAAAGAGGGAAACTACAGTGCCTTGTTGCCTTTTTTATCATCATTGTACATAGTTTTTTCCGTGTCCCAAAGCTACCCCTGAACACTAAACAAATTCATAATGACAGCAATAATTTTCCCAGAAACTCACCGCTCAATAAAATGAAGGAAACACTTCTACAAATAAGTCGCAATAGTTAAAAAGTAGTCAGGCTTTTAAAATAGTGAGGTGGGTGCTAGAAAATAGATGTGTGGGAAGAAGGCTCACCACTGTAACTAGCTGTCATGGACTGAATGACGTCCCCCAAAAAACTTGTGTATCAGTTTGGCTGGGCCATCATGATTCCTGGTATTGTGTGATTTTCCTATATGTTGTAAATCCTGCCTCTATGATGTTAATGAGGGAGGATGGGTGGCAGTTCTGTTAGTAAGGCAGGACTCAATCTACATGATTAGATTGTGTCCAGAGGCAATTTCTTGAGATATAAAAGAGAGAAGTCAGCAGAGAGACGAGGGACCTCATACCACCAAGAAAGCAGTGCCAGGAGCAGAGCGTATCCTTTGGACCCAGGGTCCCTGTGTGGAGAAGCTCCTAGTCCGCGGGAACACTGATGAGAAGGCTGACACGGAGAGAAAGCCTTGCCCTGGAGCTGATGCCCTGAATTTGGACTTTCAGCCTACTTTACTGTGAAGAAATAAATTTCTCTTTGGTAAAGCCATCCACTTGGGGTATTTCTGTTGTAGCAGCACTAGATAACTAAGACACTAGCTAAACTAATAAAATAAGGTAACAGCTCCCCCACAACTTGTTAGATGTGTAGCATTTTGTCCTTTGGGGTTGCTCAGATTCTTACAGACTCAACCAAGGCATGCAACAAAGGAGTCACCAGGCTCGATAAATCTAAAAAGTACCATAAACGTTTCTAGTCAGAGATTTTCCTGCCCTGGGCAAAAATAATTGCCTTGCCAACTTCCATTCTGACTGGCAACAGTTGGAAAGATTGGTGTGACTCCTTGGAAACCTCACATTCATGTCTCGGCTGCTATCTGTGAAATGACATCCTCTTACTCCTCAGGGAAACCCTGCCCGGCAACGTGTGGCAACAGGACAAGCAGATCTAAGGGTAGAGGTTCTAAAAGATCCAAATAAAACTTAAAAGAGATTCACTGAACTATTAGTTCACCCTCATATATCCACTGGTGAATACAATTTATAATCCCTAATGAGTTACCAATATAACAGTGTGGTAAGAGGACAGAGGGAGTCCCTAGGTGGTGAAAACAATTAATGCAATTGGCTGCTCACCAAAAGGCTGGAAGTTTGAGTCTACCCAGAGGCGTCTCAGAAGAAAGACCTGGTGATCTACTTTAACTTTTCAGATACGTGTTACTGAAATAAACCAAGAACTAACGTACTTGGGTTCCCGGATGACTACTCCAATTGACTTTTAGCCAGACCTACCTCCATGGTTTCTTCCAAGTCCTGAGTAAATCTCTTTCAGGGCTAAGATATTTGTTAAATGATGCACATAACTCAATTGAAAGGTAGCCCAAGATGCCTGGCTATGACCAAGTTCCCACAGGTGCAGGCAATGACAAATTTGCCATGACTGCCACCTGACCAACAGTAATTGTATGACATAATCAACTGAATGATTCATCACAGTTGTGGAAATATTAAAATGTGATTTACAGAATCACTGGAGTACAGCAACATCCATAACTACCTTTAAAAGTCGGTGATATCATTGTTTTCATTTTACATGTGAAGAAACTGAGGTCAAACAAGCTTGGCCAACCTCTCACAGCTAATGACCAGTGAGGTCACACTGCAAACCAAAGCCCCTCTTCTTAACTGTATTCTATGAAGCAATAATTCACTGATATCACACTTTCTTCTAGTTTAGAGCAAGAATTGGCAAACTATGACCCACGGTCTGTTTTTGTACCATCCACCATCTAACAATGGCTTTTACATTTTTAAATGGCTGAAAAAAATGACAATACTATTTTGTGGCATATGAAAATTATATGAAATACAAATTTTAGTGTCCACAAATAAAATTTTGAATTTCATCAATTAAAAAAATGTGGGAATTTCTTTTTTCTCTTGTTACATAAGTACCTACATAATATCTTCAATTTTGCCTCTTGGCTCACAAAACTCAAGATATTTACTTACTGGCCTTTTAGAGAAAATGTTTGCTGACTGCTGGTTTGGAGTATTGTGAAAACAAATAATAAAAATAATAATAGACAACATCTGTTGATGGCTTAGCATGTGACAGTTCCTGGGCTATGCATTCTCTATATATTCTCATTTAATCCTTACCATAACCCTCTGAAGTAAAGCCCAGTTGCCATCAAGTTAATTCTGACTCCTGTGTCATAGACTAAATTGCATCCCCCTAAAATATGTGTCAACTTGGCTAGGCCATGATTCCCAGTATTGTGTGACTGTCCACCATTCTGTCATCTGATGTGATTTTCCTATGTCTTGTAAATCCTACCTCTTTGGTGTTAATGAGGCAAGACAATCTACAAGATTAGATTGTGTCTTAAGTCAATCTTCTTTAAGACATAAAAGAGAGAATCAAGCAGAGAGATAGGGGACCTCATACCACTAAGAAAGTAGTGCCAGAAGCAGAGTGAGTTCTTTGGATCCAGGGTCCCTGTGTTGAGAAGCTTCCAGACTAGGGAATGACTGATGACAAGGACCTTCCCCCAGAGCCAGCAGAGAGAGAAAGCATTCCCCTGGAGCTAGCACCCTGAATTCAGACTTGTAGTTTCCTAGATGGTGAGAGAATAAATTTCTCTCTGTTAAAGCCATCCACCTGTGGTATTTCTGTTATAGCAGTACTAGATGACTAAGACACTCATGCAACCCCATGTGTGTCACAGTAGAACTGCGTTCCACAGGGTTTTCCATGGCTGATGTTTTTAGAAGTAGATCACCAGGCCTTTATTCTGAGGTACCTCTGGGTGTACCAGAACCACCGTTTGGTTAGCAGCAGAGAGTGTTAATCATCTGCAAAACCCAGAGTAACTCTGAGGCAGGTATTATTTCCCTATTTCATGAGGGAATTAAGACTGACAACCCAGTGCAGCAGGATCCTAACCCAGGCTCCAGGTCTCCAGGAGTCCCCTACTGACCACTCTACTCGTGTCAAAGACAGTCATTGCTTTAAATTGAAAGAGCATGCATGAATGAAACCCACATGACCCCAAATCGTGATTTACTAATTCAACAACTATTTCACAAGTTCCTACCATATGCCAGGCACTCTCTCCAGTGCTGAGGGAGGATCCAGCAGTGAACAAGTAAGACCCTGCCTCCATGGAGCTTCCATTCCAGGTGAAGGGACAACAATTAACAAGAAAATAAATAAAGAACAAGAAAGTTTTAGGTAGTGATGAGCGCTATGGAGAAAACAGGAGATGGGGTGGTGGATATGGCTCCCGCTGTCTTTAGACCCTAACCACTAAGGTGACCCTCCTGAGCTGTATACGCTGGTTAAAACTAATGATCTTGCAGAAAAAGAGGTAAAGGGAAGTGACTGTTTAATGGGTTTCCTTTGGGGTGATGAGAAAGTCCTGGAACTAGATAGTGGTGACTGACATTATTTTTTCATGTGCAGGGCCATTGTTCACAGGAAGGCCACAAATTGTGCCCCTTGTCACAATGAACCCAGATTCCTGTTGGGTGTGTTGTAAACAGAGAGCCATTCTTCACGCCCCCTGCTCTGAGCACACCCTGTGAATATACTCTTAATGCCACTGAATTGTACACTTTACAATGGTAAATTTTGTGTGTATTTTGCCACAATATAAAAAATTCAAATGACGTAAAGAGGTTGAAAGTAAATGTGAATGCAACATTCAGAAAAAATAAAAGGTAAATGAAACAAAAGTCTCCTTGATACCTTCAGCCACATCGTGAGGAGCCCTGGAAACTAATGCTATTACAGAGGGCAAAAAATTAAAATAAATAAATACAGCAACTATTTTAGGGACGGCAGTTAAACAGGCTGTCCGGTGTAAGAAGATGTTAGCAAGAGAAATCCTAGTTCCCATGGCCTCCAGGCCTGGCCGGCACGCTCTGCTCTTCCGCGGCCAGAGGCAATGCGGCGATGCTGGACACGAGTCATCCCCGATTCTCGTCCTCATCCTGATTACCCTGTGGCCGGCTCCATCTTAACTTTCCCAGAAAAAAACGATGTAAAAGCCGCTTTTCCATTCAAAGAGGAGGCGGCGGCGTGCTGTAAGGCAAAGTGCACTCCCCGGGAAGCCACTGTTCTGCCCGCTGGGCCAGCCGCGGGCTCCGAGCGCAACGCCGCCTCCGCCAAGCGATTCCGCAAGGCTTGGGGCCTCCTTCCGGAGCCCTGCAGGACCCTGCGCCTGGGCCCCACCCCCGCCGGAAAAGGGGCGGCTCGGCGGGCCGAGCGCGGGCGCGCCTTCTCTCCTCCCTCTTCCCTCTCTTCTCGGCCTCCCTCCACGTCCGTCTAGCTCTTTCTCCACCCCCCTGGACCGCCGCACCGCCTTTTTCCGATTGGGGACGCGCCTCTCGCGCTCGCAAGAGGGCCGGCGGCCGGGGCGCACGTGGAGCCCGGCACGGAGCGAGCTGGCGGCGCACGCGGGGGATGCCCGCCGCCTCTGGGTCCCGCCCCGGACGCCCGTTCTCCCGCCGGCGCACAGCCAGGCCTTCCTGTTACTCCACCAAGTCGGCACCGAACACTCGCGCCCCCACCCTGCGAACCCACCCCTACACCCATCCCGGACCCTCAGACCCGCGCGCGCCGGCTGCCCACGCTCTCAGTGTCCGGCCGCCGCTGGGACCTGGGCGGCAGCGCGAACACTCACCTGACGATGGCGGCCCGCGCCGTGGGCGTCCGGCTGCCCCGGCCACGGCTGCTCCGGGACTGGCCGTCCTGCAATCCCTGCTGCCCGAGCAGGCCCT